ACCATCCTCTGATACCAATCTGTATGGCCATATAATCCTCTGCTACCATTTTCATATAATAAAACAGAATTTCTAACAGGTTATGGGCCCAGTACCCAGTATAAAACCAGTAGAAGCCCAGATTACAGGAGAAATATAAAGTTCAGCACAGAACAGAACAAACCAGTCATAACCAGCTATAGTAAATAAGTACAAGATACAGCAACAGAAAAAAGACTGTAACAGAATAAAAGAAAATGGCCAGTAAAACAGCTGAAACAAAGATTTCATTTGCAAATTTGACAAACTAGAACTACCAATCTTGGAAATTCAAGATGAAAATGCTGCTAATAAGGGAATTTATGTGAAATATATAAATGAAGCTAGGCCAAAATACTCTTCAGATGAATGGACAGAGAAAGATCTAAAAGTCTGAGCACAACCTCTCTTAGCACAGAAGATGGTCAAATCATACATATATGCAAGTGTGTAACTGCTAAAGAAATGTGGGAAGGATTACAAAAGGTGCATGAAAGAGCTAATCTAAGCAATAAAATGTATTTTATTAGAAAGCTATACCAAACCAAGCTGATGAAAGGCCAGGATTTGTAGGATTACATAAGGCATACCTTGGAAATGGTTGAATGCATGAGAGGTATCAGAGAAGAAATAAAAGATTTTCATGTCGCAGCATTAAAACTTAGTGGTTTACCAGAAAGTTATGAAATGCTTGTCACGGTGCTTGAGGCACATCCAGATGATGAGCTAACATTGGAATATGTTAAGGGAAAGCTTATAAATGAATATAAGCATAAAATAAAAAGCATTAATAGTGACAGTGCTTCTGTCGCAGAGTCTGCTTTAAAGATGAAAAATAGGAATAAAAACAGTTACCTGAAGCAAGAAACATGTGAATGTTTTGTGTGCAATAAAAAGGCTCATTTAAAAACAGATTGCAGAATCTGGAAAGCTAAAAGCTAAAATTACAAAAAGCCAAAAGTGTGAAAGAAAAAAATTAATTTTTCTTCAGATAATGAACATGTTTTCAATCCAAAAGTGCACCTCATCTTTGCAAGTATGGTATGTTGATTCAGGAGCTGAGTCACATGACGAATGAGAGGAATTTCTTTATTCACCTTGACCAGATTAAAACAGAAAAAAATCACCACAGCCAGAGGGAAAATAATAGAAGGAATCAGAAGGAATAGGAGATGGTTTTCTTTACTGTCCTATTTCTAAGAGTGTCACCAGAAAGATCCTTGTGAAAAATGTACTGTATATTCCTGCTCTTGAAACTAATATTTTGTCATTGAAAAAGCTCACAAAACAAGGCAACATAGTGATCTTTAAATGGGATAGTTGTGCCATCACAAAAGGGGATATCTTACTTGCAAAGGTTAAAATTATAGATCACCTGTACCAAGTTAACTCAATCAGGTGCTTAATACTGTCAAAAAGGAAAAACATTCAAACATTCAAACTGCATTCACACATGGCACAGATGACTTGGACATCCTTAAGGAAGTTCTCTCTACCGGAGTTGGGCTATTCTATGTGTTGTATTTATGTGGTACCTTCCTATTGGTTGATTGATGTGTTGATGGCCAGTGATTGTTGTTTCCATGTGCTGCCAAGTCGTCAGCTCCTAAACAGTTGATAAGCTGGTGGTACATCAGCACTTCTATTGACTGATGAGGTGCCTGTTTCCCAGGCTTGAATCAGTTCCTTGGCTTATAATCTTATCTGTCACTGTGAATCTATTTGACTAGTCAGAGCATCAGGAAAGGCCCTAGAGAAGATCTCGCTGTTGCCAGAAGTTCTATCATCTAATAGACAAGAAAAGTTCATCTCTTGCAAAGTTCCCAGGCTATGGAATAGTCCCCCCTCTCCAAATATATTTAGGAAGATGGTAAACTCTTATCCTCTGCCAAGCTTTTAAATTTATTCCAATGTTAAATGTAATTCTATTTTAATTGTACTGTTTTTAATTTTTATTTTTAATCACCTTAAGCCCTGTTGACCATTGAGAAACCGGAAAGTTGGGTAGAAATTTGATAAAACTAATACAAATATTTTCCAGATGCTTTTGACATTAACTCACTAGCAAAGCTAGAAATGTCAATAGCAAGGGATCATCAAGTTGATCAAATGCTCTGAAGGGCACAAAGTTGTTTACCTCCAAGCTATATGATTGCTCAGGTACTACTTTTAATGTAATGTTTAAGGCCTGCTATCAAATATTTTGATATCTGTCAGCAGGCCTAGTTTATTTCACAAGATATTCAAAGTCAGCTCCCCCCCTTTTTTTGCAGCATTTACGGTACACTGGATCCTATACTTGTTTCCATAGTCTTTGTAAAGTTACTTTGTATATTTCTTTTAGAAAGTCAGCCAGATTTTGAGGTCTGACAAGCTGGCATTACCTAATAATCTGCTTTATTTCCATCTATCATATAAAACAACAGTTCAGTGACAGAACTAATACTTCAAAGGGATTAAATACTTTTCAAATTCTTTACAGCAAGATTGCCAACATGATTGCCAACGTCTGATAATGGATAGGGAAAAAGAAGAAGGAGGAGGAGGAGGAGGAGGAGGAGGAGGAGGAGGAGGAGGAGGAGGAGGAGGAGAAGGAGAAGAAGAAGAAGAAGAAGAAGAAGAAGAAGAAGAAGAAGAAGAAGAAGAAGAAGAAGAAGAAGAAGAAGAAGAAGAAGAAGAAGAAGAAGAAGAAGAAGAAGAAGAATAAGAAGAAGAAGAAGAAGAAGAAGAAGAAGAAGAAGAAGAAGAAGAAGAAGAAGAAGAAAATCTGCGGAATCCTAACCAAGCACTGAATGAAGGGAGTAATCTGCAAGTAACCAGCTTTTTGGCAACTATGTCCCTCCTTCCTCCAGCAGGCTGCAGGGAAGAAGAGGGTGAAATGCCAAGAAAAATAGAACGCAAATGATCAGACTTGCCTGCCCCACCTGAAGGGAGGGAACATTTTTATTTCTTTACTATCTACCAGCAACAAATTGTCCCAAAGGGAGGGGGGGTTTCACAGGAAAAAAAGAAAGAGCCTTTACCACTTTTAATGATATTCCCAAACCCTGTAGATCACTTGGCTGGGAATTATTGGGGCTGTAGTCCAAAGAGCTGATGAAGATTGATTCAACTTGCTTACAAGGTAGAACAGTATTGCTACCCATGAATGGTAGAAAAAAAATCTGAATTTGTGAAGGTACAGCAGAGGTAAAACCAGAACAGTCTCCCAGCTCATACTCTTAAATAAAGGAGAATGCTGTTCCAACCCTGCCACCCCCCTCCCTGTTTTCTGTCTTCCTGCTTAAATGCTATAACTCCATTTCTCCCAGACTGAATTGAGCATTCATTCCCTTCCCTTCCACCAACAAAGAGAATTAGCCATGGAAAAAAAGCTGGCACAAAGGAAGATGTATTAGATCAGCTAGAGGAAGTGTGCGTCCACTGCAAGTCAACCCCTTCTGCCAAGACCACACCCGCTTCTCTTCTTGACACAGATGCTTCTGATCTTTGAGCAAGGAGTTCTCCCTCACCTGGCTCCCCAAATGAAACTTTGCACTAGAAAATTCATAGCTAGCACCCCTAAAGACCGCAGAGCCAGCAAGTGTCTGGACAAGGGAGGAAAAAAAAAAAAAATCCGAAGAGCACAGGAGAATCTCAAATCTCCAAAGGGAGAAGAAGTCCGGCCTGCCAAGATACAGAAATACAGGATTTGCTATATTCTCCCCCCCTTTTTTGGGGGGGGGAAGGGACAGGACCTACCCAAGGACTTGATGCTGCTCTCTTAGCAATATTCCACCAAGGGCACAAAGAGGAAGCTGACAAAGGAATCTCCTCCCTTTCTAGCACGTTACTGACACTTGCATGGTTATGATGATCCTTGGATGCTACAACGGGCACATAGCAAAAAGAAAAAGAAAAGAAATAGCAGAACCAGGGAACACAGGATGGATTCAAGGCATGTTTCTATACATACGAATATTCAAATTAACAAGGAAGAGAAGGCCAGCTCTGTAATACCCTTACCATACAACTAGCCCCCTCCCCCGTCTTTATTTAGACAAAGGGAGCTGGTCTATGGAGAATATACTGGAGCTAAAGTTACAGGAAATCAAGTGTGGGGCATCTCCTCCACAAACCTGCCTCCTGTCAATTCAGTACCCCCACACTGGCTTGTCAGTAGTTGGGGCGTCCCTTTCACAATCTTCTCCTATCATTATTACTGTTATTCCGCGAGGAACGATTCTGCAAATGGCATATATATATATACACACATATACATACAAAAACCGATCCGATCCGATCCATCAGCAGCACTCGAAACGAGATCCGAATTCGCCTTCATTAATTTCAAAGCACACCGTTCTAAACCATTTTTGAGACATGGGCAAACCTAGCTGCGAATTCTTTGAACAAAGGCATGTTTTTGAAACACCGCAAATCAAACAGCTGTCAGGTCTCTCCCCCACTTTCCTCCGGAGAGGTCTTGCTTTGTTTTGCTTTGTTTTGTTTCCCTACAAACAGGAAGTTATTCCCCTGTTGAATTAAGATGATTTTTTTTTTTTCCTCCTTGCCTTTCTAACTCCAGAAAGTTAACGTCAGCAGCGGCTGGGCGCGGAGCCGCTAAGTTGGTTAAAGGAAATGAAGACGAGGCAGTCCCGATTCTATCACCTGTCCCCCTGTTTTGGGGGAAAAAACCCTTCGAAATAAGTATGTTTGCGATTTAAGATTGACAGCTGGTCGGGAGGCGATGGGTCAGAACGGTCCAAGACAATGGGGCTTGTAGTTCCACAACTCCGCCGCGTCAATTCTTTCTCAAACTCAAGCTCTATTTATACAGACTCTTGGAGACACGGGAAGCCACCACCTTCCCCCTCCCCCCTTCTCCGCAAAGTACTTCACTAATGGGATCGGGGAGACCCAGGTAAGCAGACGGAAACGTCCAAGTTTGGAAAGTCAGAAGGATCCACACCCGGCGAGTAAATAAAGGAAAATCCACTTACAGCTTCAAAACATGTCCCGCCCGCAGAAAGGGTTGCTGGTGCAGCCAGGAGGGCAAAACCCAGAGAAAGAGTCACAATCCCTGCACCGCCAGTGAGACCAGCCAGGCCGTGAGTCACATTTTGTGGGTCTCCCTAAAGCACCAGCTCCAGAAACGGACAATCCGAAGCCCAGCTCCTCGGATCAGCCAGCGCGCTTCCCATAAGAAAAAGGAGGCCGGGCTTAACCCCGCCCCCATATTACCATATACTATCCTACTGCGGGGGGGGGAGGAACCATCCCCAACCACCCCCCAGCGGCTATATTGCCGCCCGCCTACACGCTGCGCCGTTTATTTGGAGAAGCGACGCCTACCGGAAGCCGGTGGCTCTACGGGGCAAAAAGCGGGCATCAGTCGGTAGTTTTCGTTGGGGAAAAGAAAGGTCCTAACCAACCTACAACGCCCCCCCCCCGGCTACCGGCACGTGCCTGTGAATTATTCCTGCTGTCCTGGAGAGCAGACAAGGCATTGCGTGGACCTCCGCCCACGAAAATGTGGAAAGGGGCTGGGAGTAGGCTTCCTCATAACTTCGTCAACCAGGTCTTGGAGTTTTCTGGTGGCAGAAATACAGCGGGGGTTTGTCACTGAGGGCGTTGTTGGGACTCCCAGATCTCACTTGGCTTTTTGAGATCATCTAAATTCGGCTGCCTGCTGCTGTTCCTCTTTCCCTAACCCCAAAATCTGGAAGAACCCAAAATGAATAACGCATAGGTAGCATACAGCATTGTTTGCTTCTTATCACAACTCTGTATTCTGAACACAGAAATGTAGATCGCATCAGCTAGTTTTGCATGATATACAGAATTTATTTTTAACTATGTCTTCTGTTCTCTTTTGCAGCTTTGTTTTTTTGTTTTTTATAAAAAAAAATAATACTGTTTTTCTTGTGAACTGGTTTGTTAGCTGCCCACATTTGTATATTCAAGCTGGGCATCCATATATATACATTTGGCTGGTAAATACATACATCACAAATTAAAATCATATTTAGGCTTGCATGTTCTACAAATGCACATCGAAGAATGCTAATAAAGTGATGGCTTCTTTCTTTGACTTGGGGGAACGATGAGGTTGGTTTATTAATTCATTACAATCATTTATATCCTCCTTTTCGGAATTAACCCTTCCCAATGTGCAATAAAAGAAATATTACTGAAAACTGTTCCTTCACATAAAACAGTTGGAAATAATAAGTGGGTGGCAATGGGAAGATCTTCACTTGACATATTCCTCCTTCAGAGATGTTTATTGTAGGATTGCTGATGGTGAAGCAGAGAAGGAAGAGATTCTTCTAATAAAGTAGAACCATTTGCAAGCATTGGTGCTGCGCTCATTTCTTACTCTTTCTTTTCTCCCTCTAGTAAAACTCACAAAATTGAAAGTAGTTAGCTACTTTTTGGCTCAGTGTATTGTCAAACCAAGTTGGTGTGATTAGTTTGTAGTTCAATGTCTTGTGTAAATTCAAGCCGTTGGGTTAATTCAGTAGACCAGAGTTCAGTTAGTAACTTACTAAGTATACTTTTAAAGTATACTTACTAAGTATGGGTAGCATCTTCAGAACACTTGGGTTATCCCCAAAGGGTGACTCTGTACTTGTTGGCAGTTAGAGAAAGTAAGGCTGAGTTGGTTTCTGAACCAAGGCTTGCAGGTTCTCAGATCCATTATTAATAATTTGGTGTTTTAATTTAATCTGATATGTGCAGATCGAAGTGCTATTTAATTTGTATTTTTTATTTTATTTATATCCCACTTTTATTTTTATAAATAATTCAAGATGGCAAGATGTTTCCCCACAACAAAAGCCTTGTGAAGTAAGTTAGGCTGTGAGAGAGTGACAGCTCTCATGTCTAGTATGGGACTAGAACTCCTAGTCTCCCTATTTTTAACCTGGCGCCTTAACCACTAGACCAGGGGTAGGCAACCTTGGCTCAGGAATTCTGGGAGTTGAAGTCCAGAGTCATAAAAGAGCCAAGGTTGCCGTCCCCTGCACTAGACCACTGCATGCTATATAGGTATCATTACAGACAGAGCTTGATTCTGCTAAATTGAAGCTTTTGTGACTCATATAAGGCATCAAGTTTAATGTTGTTTAAGTGATAAAAACCTTCCCATAGACAATTGCAAGCTCTACCTGCAATTTTATTTTCACTTACCTGAGAAAAAGCCTCTGTGAACTTTCTTCTGACCAGATGATGAATGTGCTGTCAAGTAACTTGTGAAGTTCACAGTGGATAGGATACCATGTTTTAAAGTGAGCAATTCCTATTCCACATCCCCTGTTCTTGACTTTTCAGGAATATGAATGCCTGCAAGTATGTTCCAAAAATTATTCCTTAGTAGCCCCATCTTGATGAAACATGACTTTGTGTTTGATCATCTACTCTGAATTTCTGAGTGTAAAAATCAATGATTATAAGATGAGGTGAACTGAGATGACTGTGCTGTGCATCCCATCAAAAGGCAGTTTCCAGAGAAGCAAGCGATCCATTGTTCCTCCCCAAGCCTTCAGTTATCATAGAAATTATTTTTCATGTGACATCTCCAATTATGGGTTATTTATGATTCATATGAAGCACAAACACTGTCTTTTTCACAGGGGATTAATTAAAGGACAAACAGGTTTTTATTGAATGAACTAGGTTGGTAATGACTGATAACTCCTATTGTAGGCCAATTTCCTGTCAAACATCTCCAGCTATTGTGGTTCTGTTGCAAGCAGCAACATCGTAGATAAAGGCCTGCCATATATGCTATGAAGTCCAGATGAGAATACCTGGATAATTTTGAATTGCTAAGGTAGCCAACTCTTTAGAAGTTCTCAAGACTTTAAGGAATGTTACCACTATGTATGAAAAATATATAATCCATTTGTACATCACATTATTTACAAGCACATCTTAACGGTTATCAAACATATACTGTATAGTAGATGCATTGTTTATATATTCCATGATGAGACACATTGACTTTGATAAAATATCTCCAGACAAAACCTTAATAAATGAGATGGAGATCTAAAACACTGCAGGCCCATGAAATGTTAGGCATTCTTATAAATCCATCCAAAATACATGAATGCCAGAGAATCACTTATCAATCAAAACATCTTGACAGAAAAGCATGTTTGGGCTTCAGATGAATGATTCCTAGATATTGGTATCAAAAGTTAGGTAATCATGAGAAAGAGCCATGTCAGGCTGTTATAGCAAAACCAGCAAACCTTAAAAAAGAAAGAAAAAAATTGGTTGTGGCATAAGTCAAAACTTCTTACTTCAGAAAAGCAAAGCGATCCTCTAAATAGTTCACACAGGGAAGATTTCTTCTATATCGTTGGCTAAAAGTTTCAAGCTGTGCAAATGATTATTATGAATATTTGACAACCCTATTCAATGCATGGCAAAAATGAAAACAAAAAAGAAGGCAAATGAATAAGATCCAACCGGGTTGAGAGTGGATTCCATTCAACCTACACCTGTTAGTGACAATAAATAATGTATAATAATATTATAATAAATAATTTATTACACTTGTATGCCACTTGACGTTTGTTGACTCTGGCTTGCTCACAACAATCAAATAAATTACAATAAAATCAATAAATGATGGTAAGTATGATGAAGCGAGGGGTCTCAGTCTCCCTTGCCTTTTGGGCACCAGGAACCAGTTATGTGGAGAGAGGTTTGTCCACAGACCAGAGAGGGCGTGGTTTGTGTGCTGACTGCATCCTGTGGATAGGGCTTTGCTTTTTGTGTGGACCGGTTGCTGGCATGCCATGGCCCTGTACTAGTCCATGGCCTGGGGGTTGGGGACCCCTGCTGTATATATATGGCATGCACTTAAAATATGGGGGTTTTTTTAGATTATTTCTTTCTGTTTTAATTTTTTGTGGTATTTTTTACAAATCCAACTTTCCCAATAAATTGAACACAGCTTGTTAAAATACACTTGTTGATGTACATATTTATGAAGCTATGAAGGTCAAAGTAATATAGTGGTCAAGGTGCTGGGTTTGGATCAAGGAAATCCAAGGTCAGTTCCCCAATGTCAAAGGTCATTGGGTGAACCTCCCAGCTAGTTATTCTTCTTTCACCCAACCTGCCCACAGAGTTATTTTTCTAGGGAACAAAATATGTAGGGAAAAATCCCTACATATGCAATCATAAGATCTCAGACAAAAAGTGGGATATCAGTGGCATAAATACACATGGCTCTTGGATGTGCAATTTCTGAGCCAAGAAACATTTTAAGATGCAAAGCAAAGAAAACTTGGTAAACTATGTGTCTTTCTGAAGATTCTGTTAGGGAGGTTATGACATTTATTTCAAAATAAATGCACAATGGGTTCCTTTGATATCACATTGAATAGACATAGCAAGATGAATATTATAAACAAATATCTTTAAAAGGCAACACTATAACTTTTCATGGGGAGGGGGAGGTTTGAGCTATTGAGATCAAATTACATGACATCATTTTGGTTAATTATATCCAATCTGAAAACTTCATTTGTCTATATATTTTCCTATTTTGTTCTGTTTTTGTTTTATTTTGGGCTGTGGTCATTTCAGAGTGTTCTGGTGCATCAAATGCATCTTTGCTACTTTCTGCCTGCTAGCATTTTTAATGTCCAATTAGTGTTCATTTGTCCATTGGTTTAGTTCTTTAAATTCCATAAGTGAAATTAAGGCACTTTCTAACAGTAGTATATTTCCCATCAAAATATGTACAAATGATTAACTGAACATATTAAGCATGATGGAAGTATGACATAGCAAATTAAGGAGACCACAGAACGTCATCAATGTCTCAGTAATCTTTGCAATAGTTGGCTGGAAAAGAAGTTCCCTTGTTTAGTTTTATTTTATTTTGATACAATAAAGAACACTATTGTTCTAAGGATGGCTGGAGATTTAGCATGCATAGTAGGGAATGGTGTCTTTCCTCCAGCCTTCTGCAGAGACTGTGTATAAATGAAAAGAAAGTAGGAGCAACAGAGACAGTACTAAGAATAAAATTTGACTTTGGGGTATTCTACATATCTTTCTTAGGAAGCAAATGGATCCATTTCAGAGAAAGCCATGTGAGTACATTCCTGAACTTATTTATCATGTCTTATCTCTATAACTTTGTTCCCGACTTCTTGTGACACACTAAATGCAGAAGAAATGGAATTAACAGTAAATAGGAA